CATCCATCCATCCATCCATCCATCCATCCATCCATCCATCCATCCATCCATCCATCCATCCATCCATCCATCATCCATCTATCCATCCCTCATCCATCCATCCATCCATCCATCCATCCATCCATCCATCCATCCATCCATCCATCCATCCATCCATCCATCCATCCATCACCCAGCTTCACTTATTGCAATCATTTATATTAATTTTACATTATAATTCTGAGAATTGGAGGAGAGTAACTTTAAGTTTTTTGTTCACATCAAACAAATAATTAGTTAAAATCAAAGCTTGCTTATACTTCAGGGGTCTCTATGGTGTTATGCCATATTATTTCATAATAAAATAAAAAAGAAAGGGTCAAAGTCATTGCTGAAGTACTGAAGTAATAAGCAAGTTTTACTCTTACTGAAAATGCATAAATGGCTCTGCTTTATATCTCAGTTCTGCAGCAATATAAGATTAAGAATTATATTTTCTTTTTTCTCTGTAAGTGCATGGTTGATCTTATATAAATTTATGTAAATAAATGAAATGAAAGGATTAAAAAAGCTTCTAAAAATAAAATACCTGATACTGGTTATTCTTTTAGACAATTAAAAGCAACTACAATAAGAGAAAGATCAAAGAAAGACATGTAGTTGCAGCTAAAATTTTGTTCATATCTACCCACAGAAAATGAGTCATTAGGTTCGTTCAAACTCCAGTAAGTGCAATTAGAAAACTGGACTCTGAACAAAACGTGCTTTCATAAATCGTCTACCGTAATAGCGTTGTTAGGACTGATTATTCACTTTATTACATCAGTAGTTTTCTATCAATCATAAACTGATATTGGAAGCTCACACAGAAGTGTATTATTATGTTTTTTACAACTGTTTGTCACATCGTCAAGTCAGGTCAAAATAAACGTTAGGAAACGTATGCCTATTTCTTCTGGGCTCTGTTTGACCTAATAAAGGTTTTCTGATCAATTATTATAGTTGTAATTAATAAATGATAATAAAAATTGGGTTGTTAGTTAAAATGGATATAATATTTTCTTCTAAGACGTTTGTTAAAATTGCATTTAGATACTTTATTAAATGCAAGATTAACTGCTTGAAAGAATATTGTCGAAGATGCTTAATTTGACCAAAACAAAACAGAAACACAGCTGATGTTTAGGCTGTCTAATTCAGCCCGGTGGATTGTAAAAACAACTGAATATTACTAAATGTGTCTCAGCCATATATTTAAAGCAGTATCCTGTTTAAAGACAAAACAAAAGCCGTTTTCAGTCAACTGTATGACATGAATATCATGGACCCTGCAAAGATTCACAGGCAGTTAATAAGAGAAACAGGCCCGCAGCATCACAGATCGTCCATCATTAATAACACATCCTTTCCCACATATTTACTTCATTAACCTGGGATGTTTGTTACCTTGCAGCTTTTAATCTCATCTCATCAGAGCTCATGGTTTGAGTTAAGTCCCAGGAGGGTTGAACTAAATTCCCGGCTTCCCTGTTTTCAATTGTAATGGAAAGAAATATCTTTTCTAGCATCACTTCCAAATGATCTGTAAATTGATTGATTGACTTTACTGATCTCACAGTGTAGAAATGTACTCGTTATATCGGCTCAAATTGTCAAAAGATGAAGAAGAAGGAGCCAAAGGAAGAAAAAGGTGCATGGGATATTTACAGTGCATCCACATAGGACAGCTTTTTTATATTTTAATTTGTAAAGCAGGATTATTATAGTGGGTTATTGCACAGGGTGTTTATATGGGTATTTATATAAATCTCAACCAAGTCTTTCAGGTCTACTCTAAGTCTAAGTCCCCACTACAGAAATGTACGTGTCCAAGTCCTTACCTTTGAGTAAATATTTTATAACCAAATGATGATTCATCTCTAGAATTTAGAGAATTTTAAAACCCAATACTGGGGTTGCTTTTTGTGGTAAACATTAAGTGAAAAATGATCTCGAAATAAATTTGTTTTCTATTTAAAAAAAAAAGTATCTGCTTACCAATTCTAACAGCACAAACCAACCTTTATTATCATCAGATAATTTTTTTAGTAAAGTTTATCTTTCTGATCAAATTGGATGAAGAAATCATCTGATGGGGCCAAGATGGCGACATTTCTTCAACTAAGAAGAGTTCTGTTTCTTCTCACGGTGTGAAATAGCAGGAGACCCAGAGGGCCTCATCCAGCTGCTGACAAACGCACAGGTCTCTGTGCTGCTTTATATTTCTAGGTCATGTAAAACTCAAAGCTAGTTTCCATTAAAAAACAAAACAAACATAAATGTAAATGTTTTTTGTGATTTTTTTTTTTGAGGAACTGCTAATTAAAATTTAAAAACTTCTCTTTAAAAATATGCATTGAAGGGTTAATATTCCAGAACATTTAGTTTTCAACCTCATGTAGAAACCTTAGCTGTTTCATCTCCTCAGCAGACTAACATATGCTGCCTCTCTGTTATCTGATACATTAGTTTAGCCTCCAGCAGAGGAGTTGCTTGTTTATACAGTAAAACTTGTTTTCACAGTCTCTGCTAATTTTAAATCTCTGAATTTCCTTCAACTTCTTCCCTGGTTTCTGGGTTTGGCTCAGGTACTTTCCTACCTATGAGAAAGCTCATCAACGTCATAACCAGTCTCACCTGTAGTTTTTTTTAAACGCCCCGCCCCCTCTGTCGCGTGCTGACCAATCCGGGAAGGTGCAAGTTTAGTAAAGGCAGAGCTGTCAGCTTTATTATGCAAACACAGGCTGTGGCTCCAGTGTTACAGATCTGGAGAAACGTCTCATCACAGCTGCAGATCTATATTTCTGAAGTAATAGAAAAATCTACACCTTTTAGTGATGGCACCACGAACCGGTAGGAGGAAGAGCGAGCTGCCAGACCTTTACCATGAGGGTTACCTGGAGAAGAGGTCATTCAAAGACAAGGTAGATCCGGTTTGCTCAACTTTTTATCATTTTTAGCTTTGTTAGCTTTGGAAATGCATTGGATTGTGTTAAAACTGTCAAATTCCAGCTCATCCTGCTGCTGTGATTTCTGACATGGTTCCACCATGAAATGAGATGTTACCAATATGAATGAATCACTGTTTTTTTTTTAGCTCTTATGACTATGTTAACATTAGTATGAAACAAACTACACATGGTCTCTTTTTTTGTGTGTGCAAATGTTTCTGATGATTTAAAGTGCCATTATCTAGAGATTGCATGCATAGATTTTAAGTCTTTTTAAATATTTATGCGTGCAATTTTTCCAAGGGCTGTTTGGATCTATTTGTGCTAGGATACAATATCTCTGCATCAAACTTCAGATTTCCAAAATTAGGTTTGGAAGTTCTGCCTTTTGCTGCCTTCTATAGCTCGCAGTGCGATAACTCAATGAGACTGATGTGCCAACTATCATCATGGAAAACGTTGAGCAAACAATATTGACACTGCAATATTCAGCTGTAATATTGTAGCTTTGCATGGTCCTTTTCATCCTGCAGCCATCTGAACTCCTGACATGATGGGTTGCCTTCTAAACACAAAGGTTTTGTTTCCCTACTTTATCAGGGAATGGAAATCAGAAGTCCTCCAGTCAATCAAAGAGGGATCCAGTCTCTTTTTTTTCACCAACTAGCTGTGATCATCGAGTGCATAAACAATTAAAACCCAAGAGATCATTTTGTTTCTCTCTTTAAATGCACTTAAAAAACAGACAGCTCTGCACAATTTTAAGTTCAGTAAAAACTGGATGAAAGTTGTCAACATTTAGATGAATGCATTGATTTCAATAAATTTGCATAAGTTTCTGTTAGATGAAACACTGAAAAGCCGACGACAATCTTCAGTCTTTGTTATTCCCTCAGGGAAAATGCACCATAAATCAGTCCAAACCTGAACAGACAGGTTAAACCTCAGACTAACCCCGAAAGCTGTTTGGTTCAGGACTAAAGTCGGAATAACGTTACCTCCAATTTAAATACATCATTCTTATTTTCATCACCGATCCAATGACTTATGGTTCCCAGTCCTTAATGGTACAAAATAACACAGTAAATCTGACAAAGTTTTAAATCATCTTAGAAAGCAGCCTAAGCTGTTTAGACTTCTCTGCACCACCACTAAAACATGGCCAATCATTTGTCTGCTCTTTGCTCCAAAAACTGCACCAAATCAGGGACTGACAGGACAGCAAAGGGTCAAACTGGTCCCACTGGCTCTCCAAACAATAAATCCTGAGGCCAGTTTGGTCGCCGTTGATCTGGAAGATAATTTCCCGTTAGGTAATTCCTAAAAACTGGTTTCTCTCACCAGAAATAAATAGCTGTGCTTTAGTCTGGTGTTTAGTCCGATCTCCTATTTTTAGCCCTAATCTCACTGATCTGATAGGGTTGTATGGTTTTGTTTAGCTTCAACTAGTTCCAGCTCCTTGCTTTTGTTTACATGGCAAACAGTTTGATGCTGACTCATAAAGACCCGTCCAGCACTCAAAGACTCACTGCTTATTTCCTTGTTGTTTTGCTCTTATCTCTTTCCCTCCTCTTTAGTGTTAGATTTGATGCTCTGTCTTTTGTCTAACTGGTCTCTGTGTGTCTTTGCAGACGGCTCGGAAGCTGTGGACCAGTTTGTGTGGGAACACGTTTTATTTCTTCAATGAGAAAAGAGAAAACGATGTAAGTCTTCTCTCTTAGAGGAATGTCACGATAAAATGCTCAGATCTGTAATTTATTGTACCTGTTTGCTTCATCAGTATGTAGAGAAACTGGAGCTCTGTGGACTGATCTCAGTGACGGACGACAGCAGCCCAGATCCTAACTTGGATGCAGCCAGATTCAACGTCCAGATGAAGAATGGAACCATTAAATTCACTGTGGGTGAATATTGGCAGAATAACTTTTTTTTTTTTTTTTTCCCTGTTTGCAACTAAGCTGATATCCGTCTGCTGATTTCTGCAGGCACCAAATGCAGAGTCCCGGGAACTTTGGAAGGGATTTATCCACGCAGTGGCTGAGGTCTGTCCTATAATGATTTTTACACCCACCCATTTTGTGCTTCATTGTGTTACACAATATTTTCCCCCATATTGTTTAATGAATAAATTGGGTCTCTCCGTAGTTGAAGGTGCCCCTCTCCCTCAACCTGCTGCCAGGTCAGCTCCACATGCTGAGAGAGACGGTCAAAAGTGAGAAGAAAAGGTTGGCAAACCCCCTTCCAGAGCCAAGTCCTCCTCCAGCTGTCAAAACAGAGATGCCCATGTGAGTGTCTCTACTGGAGCAAACCGTTTCTAAATGATCATGCATGAATGAGTGGGGTAAAGGTTTCCCTGCATTTGAATGCAGTTGTTACTACGAGGTGCCGCGCCTGGAGGCCGAACTGCTGCTGGAGAGAGAAGCCAGTAAAGGAAACCTGCTGGTGAGACCCGGGAGAGACGGACGCTCCTTCGCCATCAGCACCAAACAGGATCTAGATGGGTAAATGCACTCATGTATGAAGCACACGTGTTAATTCAACTCAGTTTATTTCTATAGCGCCAATTCACAAAACATGTCATCCCAAGGCACTTTACAGTTCAACCAGATCATCCAGTCAGATTGATTGAAAGTTTTCTACCTAAGGCAAACTAGTTGATTGCATCAACTCACTGACTTGAAGGCAATCCATCACACTAAGCATGCTTGTAGCGACAGTGGAGAGGAAAAACTCTCTTTTAACAGCAAGAAACCTCCAGCAGAACCAGGCTCAGTGTGAGCGGCCATCTGCTGAGGCCCACTGGGGTTCAAGGAGACAGAAGCAGACATATAAAAAAAAAAAAAGCAGCTGTAAAAGGCGGCTCCATCGAGGAAACACACAGCCAGGCAGACGAGCTCCGAGCCAGCTCCCATGTCAGAGGATGAAGAGAGCACATCCAGTTAGTCACAGTCAGAGAAACAGGACTTCACTGGAAAACAGGCCAATCTCCAACATCTATGATTAAAGGTGTTGATGGCAGCAGAACAGCTGATATTTCTCTCCAGGATGGAGTCACAGCCAAACAGGAACAGACCAGATGAAGCTACTATGAGAAAAAAAAGCAGAGAGAAGAATAACGTTAGAGATTGAAAGAACAGATTCAGCAGAGTAGTTGAATAGGGATAGAATGATGAATAGGGGTCCCTATGTCCTCCAGAGGTCTAAGCCTATAACAGCATAACTACAGAGATAGCTCAGGATAACCTGAGCTGGAACCAAATGTCCTCTGGACATAAGATCCAGCTGCTGCTCAAAATGTAACACGTTGTTCCTTAGAGGCTGTTGAAGTAATCAGTTTCTGCTCCTCTGCAGTCGCTGCTGCTGTTGTTTGTTCACGGCTCATTTCTCCCTTTCAGCCCCGTTTTCAGACACTACCGCATTCTTTCTAAACCAGGGGGAGGCTTCTACATTGATGTGGAAAAACCTGTAAGTATTAGTTTTAGAAAATTTCACAAAATGTGCAAAAGTTAAAATGCTGTTTTTGTGTTGGGTCAGAAGTGTCTACACAACACTGCATGTAAAGAGTCCTATAAAATGATTGTTTTACACTTTTAGGCATGTTATAACCACAAGCTTTATTTCAGGATTATAGGTAATAAAGATAAGTAGTGCAGGGGAAGAAAATGCTTTTTAAAAAAAATAATTTATTCAACTGTTGTGCATTTGAATTCAACCACTTTATTCTTAAGATGTTCAGCAGCAAACATATAACTTCCCCTGTAATGCATAAGAGTGGCGTTGTAATGCTGTGGGGATGCAATTTCCTCAGCTAAGAGTTGAGAGGATCCGTGGAGCTAAATGCAGCAGGCCAAGCAAGTTGGAGGCAGAGTAAGAGTTTAGTCGGAAGCATAAACAAGCAGCCAAAACTAGTGTGGAAATATTTAGATAAAAGCTTTTTTTTCTGCACGTAAGACCCATTCATCCAGCCCTAAATCCAATTAATCTCCTTTTTACATGTGAGTTTGAGCGATTTGCAAAAACGTCAGTGTTTGCATATACAAAGCAACGCATATACAAATGCAGTCTTTTTATATTTTCTCTTAGTAAGAACTTTCAAAATGAAGCATAGTGTTCTGCTACTTTCCATCATGGATTTGATTAAACTCTGATTAACATACATTGAAGTGTTTGCAGAATGAAGAAACGCGTATGGCTCTACATAGAAGGCATTATATGTTGTGTTGGTATTTGCCCGTGTGCAGAAATAAACCCTCGTAAAGCCTGTTGCACTGGATAGCTGATGCTTTTTATGATGCACAGGAATTCATAGATTATGTGAGCTACTAGCAACAAAGGAGGCGACTGCCAGTAAAGCTACATGGAACTGCTTATTTGCATATCTCATGACATAAACAGTAGTCCATGCAAAGGTGGATGAATCATGCTCTTTTACCTGTCGTGATAGCAGATTTGAAACCCAGTTTTCCTAAAGGCTGCTGGGAGTTTGTGTAAAGATATGCACAGGGTTGCTGACTCTGTGTTTTTTATTTCCCTGGGTTTAATAGTTTTATAATGGCTAAAGGTCTGTCATTTCCCCAGGTCCACTTTCAGACGCTGCATGATGTGGTCACATATATGGTGGAAAGCACAGATGGAAACTTGACTCCCCTCATCATAGAAGCACAATACGACAAAAATATCTGTATGTCTACCTGATTTCTTTTTTCCTCCTAACTTTATTCATCTTTATAGAACTAAATATCACTAAAAACAACCATGCACCTCCTTCCTTTCACAGCTTTTATTTCAGCGGATAATGAAAACGGAGAGAGGACTCAGCAGCTTCTGCCTGTCCCTGTCTCTGTCCCAGAGCAACCCAGGCCAGGTTCGGTCCTTTAACACACTTTTACAGCCTTAAGCATCTGTAAAAAATGAGATTCCTCTCATGTTTCAGTCCCGTTCTCGTGATTCCCAGAAACTGCTTTAGGAAGAATGACTCACAATTAGTTCTCTGAAAAACTTCCAGGCATGAAGCATTCCTCTCAAAGATTAAAAGCAACATTTCACCAGTCAAACAATCCTAGTGTGCAGGAAGTTTGGACGGTGCTTTGTTATCAGTTAGGTTTCTCTAAGTGTGAACAGTGGGTTCGGTCCACCTCACGCCCACTTGTCCAACAATCAGCGAGGCTTTCAGAGTTTGTTCCTTTTGTTCTGGACTCTTAAGCAAAACAGCAAAAGTCAACATTAGGAAACGACAAAACTAAACACTGGGAAAGAAAAGTGTAAAAACTGTAAAAATGCTAACTAGAGTCAGACAATTTTTATTCATTTCTATAAAAATCTACTTTATTTAATTAGGCGACAAATATGTGAAATTATTTTACAATCTTTTATGGGTTTCTGTTATGTTACAACCCAAAAATCTTAGTATTTAATTTGGATTTTATGTGATAGAGCAAACAATCACACTCTATTGAGGGAAAACTATCTTTTTATTTATGCTAAGTTAACTACAAATGCTGATGTTTTTAGTCGGCTTCTTTAAATCAGTCGTGTAAATCCAGCTTTTACTTGTGACTCTACCATAACTCTGCTCAAAGTTCACCCATTTCTCTTCCAAAATAGTTCAAACTCAGATTGGGTGGAGAGTTTCTGTAAACACCAATTTGCAAGTCATTCCTTTGACTTTGAAGAAAATTAATTTCTAGATTCATATCTGGCCATTCTGAGGCATAAACATACACTGATTTGAACCATTACCTCTATTATTATTATTATTATTTTTTATTTAATTTTTTTAGCAACCTCCAGCTGTATATGACTTTCCATCTTCCAATAAATCAGCTCTATAAAACAATTTCTTTATAGTTTGTTCATGTCTTTATTTCCTGAGCATAGTCATAAATTGGCTCCAGATAAAGTAAATAGAAAGCCACCCATAGAGTATCATAAATTGATTTTAAAATGAGGTGAACATTTGGAAATGATTTAGCTGAAACCACTTTTTATCAAGCTGTTCTTTTTTTCCTGCTGCTGCCATCATAAGCTAAAAGTTCACTTGTCTTATTCTATTTTCATCGACTCATCAGTCATTTTTATTGCATGTTTTCCTTTAAGTTACCGAAACAAAGACGTTCGATGATCCAGAACCAGACGTAGAGGAAAATCCACCTGCTAATGATCAGGGTAAGTAGATCTGTGAGCAGTTTCCCGCCCTCATTCCATCAATCGTTCCTTCCTGGCACTTGGCTTTAAAAATAAACTGGTGGGTCTTCATTTTTGTCATGCCTGTCACTGACTAATATTCCGTCTCCAAACAGAGGAGGAAGATGTGAGGGCTCATTACTCCCCTCCTCCAACTCCACGTAAGTTCTGACGGCAGATAGTTTCCATCAGGCAGGAAATGCTCGGCTTTGTCAGCCTCGATTCACAGCTCATTGTTTTTTTTCTTTCAGTAGCGAGGAAAACGCCTCCTATTCCTGCTCCACGCAAAAAACTCCCAGTAAAACCACCCAGCAGCTCCACCTCCCCCACCAGCGTTCCTGAGGTGCTCAAGATGATCTCCGATCCAGAGAGGAAGAAGCAGAGTAAGTCCATGTTCAATGCAGCTCAAACGAGTTGGTCAAATAAGCTGCAGAAAAAAAGCTTTATTTTCTTTTTGTCTGTCAATAAATCCCAAAAAACATAGAACAGTTAAATTATTTTAATTTGCCTAATGTCAGAATTATTTTCCCCCCTCCAGACAGAGAGAATGAGTTTGCCTTTTATATGATAAACTCTGGCTATTCCTCCACAAGCTCTTATAAACAGGATAGTATTAACACTCGTTTTCACTTCTGATCTTCAATCATCCATAAGGAGGAGATCAGGGTTACTTTTTTAATATTTCAGCACTTTGTTTTTTAAATGTGTGCTGCAGGTTGTATATTTGGTACGAACAGTTACATCCTGCCTGATGCCTGGAGATGTTACTTGAAATTGTTTTTCTTACCCTCTTGTTTTGTATAATGTTCATGATTTAAATTTGGTTTAATCAGGTCAATTCTTATTTTTTTGAGTACTGGCTTCTTTGTTTCTGAGCAGCCTTTAAGCTCATGGTCAAGGTCTTTTTTCACTATTTCCTACCAGAACAGATCTATCCTCCTTCCTGATTGGTTAACACATAGTAGATATAAATGTCATATTTTCCTTTAAGAATGTAGAAAACCCATTGAAGCCATAACCAGACCTGTTGAAGTCCACATTTCTTCCAGTGCATTTCAGGTGTAACCATTTAAAAATAAAAGAAAAATCAAAGCCTGCTTCTATTTAAATATGAACACAAACAAACAAAAACAGCCAGAATATCTTCCTCTGAGCTTTTACCATTTGTTCCAAGATAATAACATAAAATCACTGATTATTCTGACATGTAGCAAGTAGAAATGTCTTTTAATGATACTGACCAAAAAAAGGACAATTTAATTCTGATTTGTCGTAAAGGTGGAAAATGTTTATCAAATTAATCAGATGACCACATGGTTTCATAAACTCATTTTTTCCCCCCCCACAGTCCTTCCTGCAGCTTTATCCGAGCTAAAGGAAAAGCTGGGACAGAAGATAAAGGTCCAGGACTGACCTCTCCTACCATCATCTCTTTGGATGTGAACCTGTTGGAGCAACAAGCTCGGAGCGGAAAGGAGGCACCGTTACGGCAGGAGGCCAAGCCATAGGAGTCCTTTCCCTCCTCCTCCTCCTCCTCGACTAGCTGTCTGCAGCAAAGCCTCTTTAGAGATTAACGACGCACTGATTTGCCACTGCTGGACGTTCATTAGCAAATCAATGGACTGTGAAGATGGGTGGACAAATTATGTTCTTGTTTCTCTTGTTCACTTTGCACTTTAGCCATCGACTAAATCAACTTAGACTTTTTCTATTTTTTAAGAGTTTTCCTATTTTTTAAGAATGTTTTTATTTAGCATACCTTCACATCTCTATGGATGCAGTATTACTGGTGGTTGGAAAATGTGTGCCAATGTCTTACAGCCTGTTTACAGTGAATGTAAGTGCAGTCAAACTCTTTCTCATCAGCTCTGATATGATAAAGTGACTTTTGATATGTGCAATGGAACAATTTAAAAGATATCAGAACTGTACCTGTTTTTTCACATTTACACGAAGTTCTTTATAGTTTAAACTTTGAAAAAGATATTCAAAGACAGTGTTCTCACTCCTTTATTACCTCAATTTCTGATGCACTATAGTGGAAAAATGAAACTATTTACAATAAATGGACATTTTGTCTGCATGTGAAATAAATCGAGTCTTTCTTTAAAGCATAACAGGCTACATTTACCCAATAAATGCATACTGAGGGAAAGCTGGGCTAGAACATGAACCAGCTGAAACAACATGAATGTTACAGAGCAGTGCACAAATACCAAGGTGAATAAATGTTTCTCCTGTTTACCTTAACTGCGTCTCTAACCTGCTATTCTCATTAAAGCTACCTGCAGAGTAAAAAGCCTTAAAATAAACTCACCTTTATCAGGTTGAAATCTTAACATTGGTGTCAAATAAGTAACATCTCAGCTCTTAATGGACTTTATTTCCTAGAAAATAAATGAAAGAGCTTTTTATAATTTAGATAATTTCTAATTGTCCTGGGGAACCAACAAAGGCCCATTTCTCAAGAGAACAAGAAATCCAAGCATAGACGTTTGCTAGTTTTGAGTCAGGAAATGACCACATGCCTATATCTACAGTCAGTGTGATTAATAAAGGATATGAGGTTTTACATGTGTGTAAAGCTGCAGCTGAAGGTCTCTCAGGGGTCACAAAGCCTCCATTACCAATGCTGAAAGCTAACTAGCTGCATTATGCAAAAAAAAAACTAAAAGTTTTCTGCCTTTTCGGTCCAAACATCACAATCATATGGTTTGTATATTTATACGTCCTGATCTACAGAAATTGCTCCAACAGGACGGATTTTACGATTAAATATTGAGTTTACAATAATGCAATAAAAGATGAATGAGTTTTAAGGCTTTTCACAAATAGAGCCCCTGAATGTTCCATTAGTGAGAGCTATAGACCAATACTGTTGAACCTGACTGTACGACATATAGGAGGGTCTCTATACTGTAAAGGCAGATAAATCAGACACAGCGCTCCGATTTACAGTGAGGGAGGGAGGGGGGACCCTCAGATGTTTCTCTAGAGCTTCTCTGCAGATTCCCTCACTCATCTATGCCTTTAATGTTAGAGTCGGAAAGTTTGAACAGGAAGATTCTGACCTAGATTATATGACAGCTGACTACAAATAGTAATACCGTAAACACTGTTACACAACATGGCCTGGCAGGGAATCAAGTATCTCATCAGAAAACAGTAGAAGGAACCAGTTTAACGCTGAACTCTTTCCTCTTCAGGTTAATTGCTCTGCTTCATTTAGGTCACACTGGTTTACTGTTAAATAACATTTTCATAACAGCTTCATACTGAAACTAACACAGACGGGGAGATATCTTGCAGTAGCAGTTAGATAGGTGAGCTGCAGATGATTGTTTTGGCCTGAGAAGAAAGGCACAGGGATGGAGCGTGACCCTGAACCTGCCGCTGACTGCGCCACAGCACAGCTGACCGTTCAGGGGAAGCTGAGAAGGCAGCGGCCAGCGCTAAAGCCGTTGCTCTAGCAGCAGTGGGACTGTGAATGTGCAGCGAGGCGTTAACTACTCATACTAGGGCCTGATGCGTCCAAAACATCACAACAGCCAGCAGATTCTGTCTCTGATGGAATAGAGAGTCTATCTGATCCCAGGATCCTCTGTCATGCAAGTGATATGACTATTCTGCTGGAGAGTCTTCATCCCCAGACGGTGAAGAGGAGGCGACCTGCAGCTGAGACTGAAGCTGGGTGGACGGCTGCGTCTATGTGAGGCTGGCGTTGGAACTGCTGGTGTTGCTGTTCTTCCTCTGGCCGCTCTGGACCACACTGGGAACCTGCAGGCCCGTCACCACAGAGAAGCTCCCGTTCCACACCTGCAGGAGGATTTACATGTTATAAATAATAAAAAACGGCCTCCCGCTAACAGAACATATGCTTTGTAATAATCTTTTCACCATGAAAGCTGGGATGACAGGCTGCTGGAACTTTGTTCTGAAAGTATGCATCAGCTGCTTGGTTTTAGCATTATAAAACGACAGGACCCCTGCGGAGTAAAAACAAGCCAAAAATCATACTTTATATGAAAAAAACTATTCTTTTCAAAATCTTGCAGGGCTCGTCTTACCTTCGTCGTAGCTGACGTAGACTCCTATGCTGTTTGGGATGGGACAGTCCAGGGTGCGAGCCTTGTTGTTGTGCTTGGCGGTGAGGCTCTGTTGCAGCCAGTTGTTGAGGTGGATGCACCAGGAGGCGCTGCTCTTCCCCAGCTGGTCGAACCTCCCCAGACTCCGCAGGGCCACCCCTACAGCGAACGCCTTGCTCTCCTTATCAAACTTCACCTCCCAGTATTGCTGGCCTGCGTCGATCATGGTGTCGGCTATCGGGAGACATTAACATACGATCAACATCTTTTTAGAGCTCTTGGACTCTCTACCATGACTCTTAATAGTGGTGGAAATTATATAAAGCATGATAAAGTAACTATTGGAGTATAATAAATAATAGTCTTAGAAGATTATTTGGTTTCTCTAAAGAATATTTCAATTTAATTTTCATAGAATGACATTAAAAGAACCAGAAATGCGGTTTAAGCTAGTTTTCTTTAACTAGCTTGGAAATTACGTGTTTTATTATTATTTTTACATCAAATAATACCCTGTAGAAGGAAATCCATGCTTCAGCTTTATGAATTGATTTGACTTTTCTCCTTGACTCTACCTTTCATACCTCATCCAAAAAAGGTTATGCTGATCTATCTCTAGCTATGCTGCTATAGGCTTAGGCTGCTGGAAGACAACACTTTTCATTATTCTCCTTCTTTCCATCTCTGTTCTCCCATTCTGTACTAATTTTAGTTCAGCCTCTAACTTTATGCTCTCTCTGCTTTTTCCATCACAGTAGCTTCATCGTTCTGTTCCCATTTGGCTGTGACGTCATCCCGAAGCCGAACTCGTGGAAAAAGGAGTCTTTGCATATGAAAGGTTATTGGAGGTCCAAAGTATATTAACACTTTCGCAAGCAAAAGCTGTGAGCGTGTGTGTGTTGAGGGGGTCATCTTAAGCTTTTAATAGAATTGTGTTTTTGGATTTAGGTTTTATTTGTATGTACATATTATTATATAACATCTGATTTAAGTCTGTGAATAAAATGTCTTTATCAGAGGTGTTAAACACCCTCTATAAAAACAAGAGTCCGGCACTGTTAGCTTTTGCTAGAAAGATCCTCCTTTCTCATTGTGCACCATCTTCATTCCTTGTATAATAAGCATTCAGGAAAAAATGCCATGGGCTGCATCTCAGTGTGGACCAACAAACATGTTAAAATGGTTTTATAATCATCAGCTGTCTGTGTACCCTCACCCAGCACGGTGTAGGATTCCGCAGTGAATCTGTCTCTGCCTGGTCGAGCTGTTGGTGCTCTCTTAGGAGACATCAGGGCTGACCTGCTCGCACAAGATAAGGACGGTGGAGAGCCTCAAACGGCAGCCATCACTGAACCTAACTCTTCATGAAAATATGTGGGTGTACGAGCAGCAATGAGGCGTCACATACCGAGCAGGGGAGTGCATGGGGGAGTTGGTTCTGTTCTTCTCCTTGCGGATCTCCTGCACCTTTCCGCCGCTGCTGTCCCACTCCACACTCAGGTCCTCCACCTTCAGGTTCTGGTGCGCCGAAGCAGAGTCCAATTTGAAGGTGAAGGCTGGATAAAGCAGGTATAACATTCAATGCATGGTCAGTTTGAGCCATAACAGAACTAGTAGAACCTCCTGAGTGCTGCTGGTTATCTCACCGTGGGTTTCTAGAGTGACGGGCTCAGAGAACTCCCCAGCCACAGCCTTGTTGCACGCCTTCACCCTGAACGTCATGTAGCGGGTGTCGAAACGCAGACCTGACAATTAGGGAGCGTTGAGTCACTTTGGCCAGAGTTTAGCCAAACCCCCACCCCCCCCTCACAGCCATGCTGCTACCTGTGAGCGTGTGCTCTGTCTCTCGGATCCCCTCCACCACCATCCAGGGGTAGTCCTCCCTGATGCGCGGTGGACCCTCGTGGTTTGTTCGCCGGTGTTCAAGGATGTAATGGTCTATCTTGTTGTCAGGTTCTGGTAAAGTCCAAACAATGGTGATGGTGTTGTCGCACACTTGGCACTCTGACACTTGGATCTCTGGAGTGGCAGGAACTACAGGGGGAGGGGGGAGGCAGTTTGTTAGATATGGAGCAAAAACTATTCATTTAGTTATAAAGATCTAAATTTTTTTAAACTTTTAAATAATTTGTTTGATTACAGCACAACATTCTCCCACTAGGGGGCAGAATTACACCACTCAGTAAATTCATACTTTCCACTGAGCAATTTTGATCTCCCCCCCTATGACATTCCACCATCATTAAACCATTTCCTGATAACTGTCCACATGTCAGACCCACCGAACCATAAGAAAACAAACAGCAGCTGCTGACGGCTCTGAGCTCCACCATGAACCCCCAACAGGTTGTAAACCCCAAGTGACTCGCACAGGTGTGAAATGACAGCATGTTGTGGTTTTCTTACAGAGTGCGACCCCGTCTTTTGTCTCATTGTCATAAGCGGAGCATATCTCAGGAAGCCCACGTCCGACACAAAGGCCTCCGTTTGGCTGCAAGCACACCTTTCTGACTGTGTTACAAAGGTTCTCACTGTGTGCACATTTCTCTCACCTTTGCATCAAATAGATCACCAGCATCAGAGATAATAATTGCAATGCAAGCATTTTAAAACTGTTCAAGGGTCAAATGCAAGTTATGTCCCGAGACAAAATAATTTAGAAATATTTAATGTGTCCTTTAGTGAGCTGAATTAAAGCTAAAATAGCTTAGTTGCTTTTGCATTTAGCCTTCTTTCTGCAGGCGGAGGAAAAGATTCGGCAAACAATGCAAAATAATAGCTATAAAACACTTTTAATAAGCTCAAACGTTTAATTAAAATGAGTTTCAGTATTTTTGAATCCTTTAATTGTAGCTTTAAGTCCATAATCTGCTGTGTATATTTTACTGAAAAATAAAGAGCGATTTAAACATTATTCTTTTACTGAGGAGGAAGAACAAACATGATCATAATAGTTCCTGTGAAACATGCGTAGATAAGGAATATAGCAGCCGAGAAGCTCGAATGTGGCCACAAAGAAAAAACAAATTCATCAAAAAAAAATCTTAACCAGTGAACCTCACAGCTAAAAGCTAGAACTGTTCTAACGTAACCTGGAAAAGCAGGTCACAGGAGATGCACGTGATCAGAGCTTTGCTCTCATCATTTAGGCTTTTCAAGCCACAATATGACTTACAGTCAAACAGAGACTGAATGCTGCTGCTTCTCCACACCTGTGTCTCATAAGTCTGTGTGAGATGTGCCAGATATATCCAGCAATAGACATCATTCACTGATGACATTCAAAAGACAGGCACTGATTTAAAGGAGAAAAAAGTAAGAAATTAGTTGTAAAATGAACCAAAATCATTGTTATTTGTCACCTGGGATGGAAGAAACAATCCCTATAAGCAATCCTTCCTCTCCATCAACAAGGTTTTCATCAAGTTCTCCTATTTTCTAAACCAGAGCTATGATGGGTGTTTACTTCCTGGTTCCTGAGGGAATCTTAGGAGAATTGCTTTATGTTTGCTAAATAGCAGCAGCCTGCAAACTTCCAGAAGGTGAAGCGGACCTGAAACAGCCTCAGCATCATTCAGAAGTATTTGCAGAGCAACTAACTGAAGGCAAATTATCTCCATTCATCTTGAATTTAGCTAGCCTCGTGAGACCATCCTGATCTCGCGAGCTTTCAAGGTTTCACTCGCTAATCAGT